AAAAAAAAAAAGAAAAGAAAATTTATATTCCCCAAAGTAATCCCACTTGATCAGGATTATGTGTTACATTACTGGACTAGTTTTGTTAAAACTATTTAAATACTTTTTGTTTGTGTTCATGAAGTCTGTAGTTTTCATGTCTTAGAGTATCTTTAGATTTGGTACTTGAATAATACTTGCTAATACTCTTGGTGTTACTTTTTTATGTCTTTTTTTGTCCTTTTTTTTGAGATAGGGTCTCACGACTTGGTATGATGTTCAAGGTATCCTTGAGCTCACTTTGCTGCCTAGGCTGGTCTTAAACTCACAACAGTCCTCCTGCCTCAGCCTCCGAAGTGCTTGGATTGCAGGCCTGCACCACCATGCCCAGCTGGTGTTACTTCTTTAATACAAGGCTATTTAGAAATGTGCTGTATTTTCAAATATTTGGAAATTTCAAATATCTTTTTGTTAATGATTTTTAATTAATTGTTTTATTGAACATATTCTTGGTAATTTCAGTGTTCTTGTATAGTTTTTTTGGCACTTGTATAGTTTTTTGGCACTTTTTTTTTTCTGATGGTGAGGATTGTACCTAGTACATAATAGGCAAGCACTCTGCGTCTGAGCTACACCCTCAGCCCTATTTCAAGGTGGTTTTGTTTGTTTGTTTGTTTGTTTGTTTGTTTTAAGATATCCCATCTTGTTTTCTGACCCAACATCTGTTCTTTCTTAATGACCAATTTGTATATGCTTTTTCTTTTTTGTATCTGCTTTAAAAGACGTGTGTTCTGCTTGCGTTCAGTGTAGCTTTCTGTAAGATGGCCACACAAATTGTGTTACTCAAGTCTCCTCTACCTGTATCCTCGCTGATTCCCTGTCAGTTGATAAAGTGGAAGTACTGACACCCCCAGCTTGACTTGTGAATTGGTCTGTTGATTCTTCCTGTGTTACCATTTTTACTTCACATAGTTTGATGTGATATGATCAGGTGCAGATGCACACAGGATGGCTGTGACCTTCTGCTGAATTCATCTTTCTGTCATTCATCGCTAGCCCTGAAGTCTGCTTTGTCTGATGCCAATCATTCTGTGCATGTTGTGTCCTTTTTTTTAACTACAATGGTTTGGAGATGTAATTCACATACTCTGTAATAGCTCAGTTATAAGGAATACAGTGCATCTCTTTTGGGTTTTGCATTCGTTGTTTTGTAGCGTTAGGGATTGAACCCAGGCCCTGCGCATGCTAGTCAAGCAGTCATCCCTGAGCAACACGACCAACCCTCAGTGTTTTTAGTATATGCAACAAGTTGTACACCCTTATCACAATCAAGTTTATAATACTTCACCACTGCCCCCCAAAACTCTTACTTTAGCAGCTACTCCTTGTTTCCATGCTGTGAGCCGTTTTTCAGCCTGACTCCTTGAGGTGTTTTTCTGTTTGATTCTTTATATCTGTCTTTTTTCTTTCATATGTCAGTTAAGTATCAAGTCTGTATTCTTCTCACTGTATAGAAATATGTGAATGTTTCATAAATTAACCTCAAATTAATTTACCTAAATAAATTTTAGCTAATGATAAGTACATCTGGAATCTCCAGTTTAGATCACTATCCTTGTATCTGCTGTCAGGACGGTTCAGAGTCAGCATTAATCATTGCCCTTGCAGCAGTCTTGGTACTCATTTTAATGATATCAGTCATAGACATGCTTGTAACTGGTAATTGTTACCCCTGCCTGCAAGACCTGACGGTTTGCATGACTTTAGTTTCAAGGATCAGCATGTGTCATGTTGATTTACAACCTTCTGGCCGTGAGAAACCTACTAATGATGCCATAGCAAAGCGTGCTGCTCACAAGCTTCTCATTTTCTTCTGTATGTTCACATGCCTAAAATAGTTAACATAGCATACGTGGGACCTGCTTACCAATGGTGGATGTCGGAAGGATTCCGAATATTCTCTGGTAGCAGTAACTCACTTAATCTTCCATAGAGCAGGGATTGGGAAAGGTGTTCAAGTCAAAAACTCAGGCATCAAAGAACTGTTGGGCAAAGAGTGATAGCCATCCTGAAGTGCCACTCTTAAAAGGACCTGCAGGGCTAGCACTTGTCTCGCGTTGGAACTAGAATTTTCGAGAGGACTTCTTGCCATTCCATAACTGATAAGATTGCTCACTATGCCTGAGTTTTAGGGGCAAACAGTGTGGCTTATGCTGAAGACCTGCTTTTCTTTGGGGAGTCCGGAGTTGTAGGTCTATGCAGATCCTGCCTCAGTGACCAGTTCCTGATATGCACCCGGGGAACAGAATCTCGAAGAAGCCTCCATAGTAGACAGCATCCCTGTAGGTTCTCACACTTGTTTGACAGCTTGCATTTGGTTTCCTCCATCCTGGGATCCATGTACCTTTCTCCCTGCTGATTCTGCTTGATATCCTCCTACTGCAGTAAGCCTTAGAAGATGAAGACCTATAAAACGATACTCTAAAATAAATAAATAAATAAATAAATAAATAAATAAATAAA